AAGTAAGGGACATCTGTGTCAGAGTGAGAGGAGGGAAGGAAACACTGCAGCATCCAGAAGCTCAGATATGTCTCAGCTAAGTGCAGAGGGCAGTGGCTGCTCATGCACATGCATGTGTTTGAGTGCAGGGAGAGAGCACAGTCCAGCTCTGGCAAGACAGAGCTTAGTGTGGACAGATGCACCCTGACTCTTAACTTCTTTCAGCTACAGCTAGATATCTTCTGCTTTAAAAGCCTCCTTGAATTTTGGAGCTGTTGAGAGCACCAGTCTTCCTTTTCTGTTGCTTTGTACCCAAAGGGTGATACAGTCCAGGCTCACAACAAACGGTGACTTGTTTTCACCTCCCTTCCCTGACATAGCCACCATGCACCTCACTGACTCTTGGCCCACCAGGCAGCATTGCTGCATCGCAGGGGCAGACATTCTCTCTTGCTGCTTTCTTTCCAGCACCCTCAAACGTAGAAACAGAGGTCACAGATGAGCCCAAGGGAGCAGTGCTTCATTGTTTTCCATGAGGCTGTGCCCAAGGAGCCACCTCTGACTCAAACTCCTGTCTGTCTTTCATTCTTTCCAAAATTTGAGTATCCAAACTGTTGCACTTATGTCCCTTGATTGCCTCTTCTGCTTTCCTAAGAAGCAAAACACTCCAGAAAATGATGCTTCATCAGTTCTTTCACTCAAATAAGAAAGGAAATTTTTTTTTTTTAATTTTCCACACAGCTGTTTTCTTCCTCTTTCCTCCAGCCTGTTGCTGCTGACACAAGCATATTTCCTTATAAAAAGGGGAAGATCTTACTGGAAAGCTGCCTAAAGCTCGTGAAGTGTCCTGGGAAGGTAGGGTAGGGGGGATTCAACAGTAACTGTCCTGTCTTAGAGGCCTGCAAGTAATTAAGGATGCCAACAGGAAGGAGTAACAGCCCTTCTCCTCTCCCAATGTCTGTTTTCATTTAGAAGTGGAGCCGCATTGATGAAGGAAAGAGAAAGAAAATAGAATAATGTGTGAATAATGGTGTCTTCCTCCACCACCATGACAGAGAAGACATTTAATGGCCCAGCTGTGTCTGACAGCCAACTCATGAAAGTAAAGATGAAATAGAAGATTGAAGAGTTTTACTGTATTTTGTGCTCTACTGTTTGTGTGGTCTTTTTCATACAGATAGGGTGGCTCAGACACCTGATAAAGGTTTGTGGGGTAATTCTGACAAAGTTATCATAACTTATGGGAAGGCGTCCACCTCTGGTTTTCTTCCTTGGGCATCTTCCCATTCCTCTTTGTAAGGCATTGTCTCAGTGAAGGTTAAAGCTGGGATTTGATGGGACTAGAATGGCAGGAGATGTACTGTTCTGTCAGAACCGTGTGCCATGCTTCAGCTGGCTTCTTTCAAAAGCCCAGCTTTAATCTGGAGTCCTAATTTGTACTTAAATCAGCTGGTTGGATGGACTTCTTCCCTATGCCATCAATGGCACTGCTGATCTTTTGAGATAGAGTACTCCGGAGGTAGCACCTCATTTATCTGTCCATATTGGCTCTTTTCTCTGTTTTGCTCCATGAAAAAGGGAGAATCTCCTCTGCTGCACTGTGTGCCATTGGGGTGGAAATGTAAGGAACAGCAAAGCTGATTTCTATCCTGCTGGTTAAAAATAGTAAAGCTGTTGCTCAGCTCACAGGATGTGGATAGGTGGATTTTGTGGATCTCAGATTGGTTTTGAGCTGTTTATAATGCAAGGGAGTCCTTTGACATAACAGGTTCCTTGGGAATTCTGCCACCAAAGGAAGTGGAGGTTACTGTATGCTGAGGAAAGCCTCATATGCACAACTAGAAATTAATATCCATGTGATGGGCAAACACAGACACAGAAATCACTTTCTTCATTGGGGAGCATTTTTTCATGGATGGTTGCAGAAGACAGATCCATGAGGATGAGAAAACACTCAACAACTCCAGGCAGAGGGAATGTTGGTGTGAGTCAGGAAACAGTTTCAGGGAGATGTCCTGACTTGAAGGTTATCTCTCAGGAGGCTTTCTTGACAGGGTCTTCTAGCTATCATCTGGGAGGGCCTTCCTGAGGTGTTGATAACTGATGGGAAGCCATGGGCTTCCTCCCTTGCAAATGTATGCAATTCTGAGGAAGCAAAGCTGAGATTGCTGATGGAAATCCAAAACAAGGAGTTCTGGGCACAGGAGAGCTGCTGCATTAACAGCATTATTCATAACAGACTTAAAAAATCCCAGATCAAGGCCTCCTCCCAAAATTTGATCTAGTGTTTTTATTTTTAGAAAATACAGTGCCTGTAGACGCACAATTGAGGTGATCTGTGTGGTTTTTTTCCAGCCAGTGACATTTTGGGGGAAACACAGCTCATGCCTCCCAATTTTTCTGTGCTATCATCAGTGGCAAACATTGTCTAGCAGTGAGGTTTCTGTGCATCTTGACTCCAGGAGTTTAGAAATTCAAAGAAACACTTTTGGGGTAAAATCACGAGCTTTAATGACAAGTTGGCATATGATGATGATTATTCGCTCTAAGGCTATACCTTTTTCATCTGCTCTGGCTGTGTGTCATTTGGAGCAGGGGTGGTGGGTGCAGGGGTACAGAAAAGCTCTGTGAGAAAACCTGAACCCGTAAAGTTATTCTGGTTGCGTGGAAGGACTCGTGCTGAATTTATCACCAGACATGTGAATTATCCAAGTCTTCTACCTGATCTTGCCAATGTTTATGGAGTCCTTCTCACCTAGAGTCAAAGCTTCTAGAGCCATCCAGGTGGTCAGAGAGGTGCACAGCACCTTTCCTTTTAATCCACCCGCCCTTGCACCTTCTTGAAGACAATTGCTGTGAGAAATATTTGTGTGAGCAGCTCCTGGGCTGTGGGAAGTAGACTAAACTAATGCATTCAGTTCTTCAGACCCACGGAACAGCAATGAAATGACCAGTGAACTGGATCATATCAATGGTATGGAAAAGAGAAATGCAGTGTAGCGTTTTAATACAGTGTCTTCTGGCAAGGGTTATTAATTTAGGGCTTGTCCTCACATACCACTACCAGATATTTGTAAGAGATCAGCTTAGATTAACTATGCACAGTTATGATTATTTTAGAAATGGTTAGAATTTTTGCTGTGAGGCATAGAGAAAAGATAAGATAGTTGTGATCTGCCCTGTTGCCTTCTAGCTGAGATCCAAGAGGAGCAGCATGCAGCAGCATGACGTGATGGTTTAGCCCATATGAGTGTGTGGTGTACCTCCCAGCAGCTGCGCTCTGTCCCCAGCGGTGTCTAAAGAATGGTATAATGTTGATGAAGGTATTAAAGGTTGGCAAGATGAGTGGCTAGGGTAACAATTTAATATGGGGTTTATTTCCATTCTGTTTTTTCTTTTTAAGTTAAAATCAAAGAGATGCAATGTCAAGACGAAGTTTACCTTGAATACAGAGTGTACTGCTTGTGCCGCAGCACCTAAAATGTTATGTCCAAGGGGCTGGTTAAAGACCACACAAAGATCAGGAGTGAGGGACTGCAGGTAAGGCCTATTTCCTAACCATATTAAGGTTTTGGTGCAGCCCTGATGTGCAAGAAGTAGTATGTGTGCCTTCAGGAAAACATATATGTGTTTTTTGAGCTCTAAAGATCCAACGAGGGTTTTTTTTTTCAGATGCATAAAAATGGATTTATGGCCCCTATTATTGTTGCTTTTGTCTCCTTGCAAATCACACGGACTTTTTGCTGGGCATGAGGTTCTATATACACAGAACAAATTACATGATTGTTCCCTCTAACTTGCCCTAAATAACCTGAGTTTGCTAATCCTGCTGTAGCAACTTAACAGAGGTCTGTCTAGCATAGAAACCTGTTTCAGACCCAGAATTCCATAGTGGATTATTAGGAAAATAATATAATGATATTTCCCCTTGAATATCCTCCCAGCTTCCAGCAATAATCCTCTGAACTTTTTACCTTCCTAGTTCACTTTGACAATTGCCTGTTCGTGTGTTCCTTGCTCTTATTCTGTTGAGCTTGGCTTTAAGAAAAGGGTGAAGGAAAACTGAATTTACCAGGAAGTTTTTAAAAATGAAACACTATAGATTATTGTTTGCATATCTATTCAGTAGTGAATGTTAACTGTTAATTTATAGCTTCATTGTCAACTGTTTTCTGTGATTCACTACTCTGTCAAAATACTTTAAAAATAGCTGTAAGAGTTTTGCCGTTTATAGCAGTTTTTGCACAGACACACATAGGAGTCAGATTGAAGCCAAAGTGGCAGTGCTATTGAGACAATTTCCAAGTTCCTTTTGGGAAGGATGTTGTGCCAAAAATAAAATGAAGTGTAAGAATAATGTGAGTGTATGCAGCTTTTCTGAGTGTTATCTACTGTTGTGGTGGTTGTTGGCCAGACCCAAGAATTGTTCTGTACTGCCTACGTGCACAACAAGAGACGCTGCCACCAAGGCCTTACCCTGTGTGTAGAGGTGATGGATGAAGGATTGAAAAGGAGATGCTTCTTTGGGGATTTAAGGGGTCTGTCCAAGATTGAATAGAGGATCTGTGAATAACACAGCTATTAAATCCAAATTTCCAGCATCCCAATCTGGAATCTTTAGTGCAAGATAGCAAGGGACAAGTCCTGCAAGGAGATTTTGTTCTTTCAAGGTTATTTGAGGTGTGAAGTTGAATGTTGAGTCACCCTGGAAGTCCTGAATTTGTTTCTATGCTGTCTAACCCTCCAGCATCCAAGGTTTCTGTCCTGTTGCCCTCAGACTGCCCAAGGTACTGTCTCATGTTGAGTCCCTGGCAGATTTCCTGTAACCAATCTTTGAGACTCAAAACAATGGGCATCCTTAGAGAAGACATAACCTAAGTGCAAACTCTTGTGTGCCTGTATGACAGAGGGAATGAGTGCCCTTCCTTCCATTTGGAGTTCAGTGCACTACAAAGTGATTGCTTAGAAACCCTCCAACAGACGTGTGTGGTAATCATGAATATTGGATTGTTCTTTTTAAGATACAGTGTCAAGTTAGGGGAAAATACCCTTTCCCAGCCAGGGTGCCACCACATATGTAAGAAGGAAATTGAGGAGAAAAGGTGCTGTCCAGGATTCTGGGGTACGGAGTGCTATGGTAAGTTTTTCATCTTTTCATGACATTCTTTAGCTGTTGAATAAGTCAAACTAGTTTTAATAGAAGGCATTAAATATGCATTGAGTTGATTAATTTTCATTATTCCTCAAACACTCACAAGATCTCCATTATCTGTCTGGGAGGTTCAGAATATGATGGGGAAGGAATCTTTTTGCTTCAGATGAGTTGAATCCTCTTACATTTAACATATAACATAACCTCTTTTGGTGGAACTTCCTTTTGTCCCTTCTTTAAAAATAAGCTTTTGGAAAGGGATGTTTTTGTTCCTCTTTAAGAAAGTTTACAAAGAAAGAGGAAGATATTTCTTTCTGATGTCCCTCTAGTCTGCAGTGCCTGTGCCACGTGTGCTCCTGTATAGTCTGGAGTTAGGCAGCCATTCAGCCACAGAAAATACTTAGCAATTCCAACCCAAGGTGAAAATAACCATCCCAAAGCTCCCACTGAGGTTTATGCCAAGTAATGAGAATTTGTTCTGTGTTGTCTCAAAAACCCAAAAGCAAGACCTGCTAAGCTGAACATTTGTCATAGGATTGACTGTTTGCTGAAATATAGAAAGGCACTCTCCAGTCCTGCAGAAAATGGAAAGTTTTGAGTGCTTGAGCCTGTTCTCACATGAAGTGATTTGAATAAGCAACTGGCTTCATCAGAGGAATCACATGCCTAAAATGATCAGAAATAAAAGGCACTCCACTCCAAAGATGTGTGGACTGTGTTTTTCTGAGCACATTTCCAGCTCTTCATGAAGTCAGAGAGGGCTGAGAATGCTCAGCATCTTTGCAAAGCAGGCTCCTGTCTGTCTTGAGTTTCAGAACTGCCCTCAGATGTTTGATACTGTCTCTCGCTGATGCTAGCAGCAGTGGCTCAACCTGAAAACATGTTTCAGTGCCTTTGCTGAAATTTAGTTAGTTATGGCCCATTGGGACTTTTGCTTAGATTTTTAATAAAAGATTTTTCTTAGCTAGCAGCCAAATTGCTCCTCGGTGCTACTCCTGGCCATATTCATCAGCTCTGGGCTAGCGTTAGGTGTGTTGGATAAGCAGGCAGGGATTTTACTGGTGATGAGGCCATTGCTTTTGCACAACTTCAATGCCTGGGGGAAGAGGAGATGGAAAGGGAGATACAGTGCTGGTTGTTTCATCCAGTCTTGTCTGGCCTGTCTCTTGCCTGCTAGAGTGTCCAGGTGGCTCTGAAAATCCCTGCAGTGGCCATGGAACATGCTTGGATGGTATGCAGCGAAATGGGACCTGCATCTGCAAGGTTAGTCTATGATTTATTCTGAGGATGATATGCTTTTCTCAGAAGGAGTTGTATAGCGTGTGCAGATGCTTTGGATGAAGGCTGCCCTTCTGCCTAGAAGGTTTTTTGCAGCTTCTTTCATTCCAGCATCAGTGTCTGTGGTTTTTCTGGAGGGTTGGTATGGTCTGCAATAGCACTAAGGCACTGTTGGTGAGGGTATGGAGTTGGGAAGGATCTCTAGGGAGAAATGAAGAAAGAATTGCATGAATTTAACCCTCTGGTCAGTTGAAATAATCAGTGTCTGTCTGTGGCTGCAGGAAGCCCTGATATATGTGGCCCTTAATGAGCCGCACCTTTTCCAGACTTGGATGATCTACTTCCCAAATGAATCGGTCCTGCACCTTGGCAGGCAGATCCTCCCTCTCTCAGGAAAAACAGGAGAGACCAGAAAGAGAGTTTAGGACAGCTGTTTATTTTTTTTTCTTTACAGCTTCAGACTTGGTACAACAAAAGCATAACCAGTTCCTTCACCTTTGAATCATTGATCAGTGTTTCTGAAATTTTTAGTGTCAGACTTGAAACTTTCTCTTGTGAACTGTATGTTTTTACAGCATACATAATTAATAGCATTGTGAGCTAAAGTCCTGCCTCTTGGCCCCTCCTTTGAGAAAAGCTGATTTTGGATTTAACTCAAAGACACCTTATATCAATTGAAATATATACTGAAGGTCCTCAGGCCCTATAAAATCAATGTCAGAAGTCCCACTGGCATTTGTGAATTCTAGATTCGTTTTTCAGAGAGGTATCAGAAGCCAGCTGGTATATTCCTATTTGTGTTCAGGACATTGTTTCCTCAATGCCCACCACAGTTTTGCTGTCATTTTGCATGCTCTCTGTCAGCTTACACTGTGATCCTCTTTGCCGTGGGGGCTGGTTAAAACTACTAGACTGCTGAACAGATGAGTTTTCTTCACTGTATTGCTTCTGCTGTCACAGAAAATCAGAATTGGGGAGAGACTTTGAACTGTAACAATGTGTGGAACAATGCAATGATACAGAAAAATAACATTTTGGGGACCTTCTAGGAGCAATACAGTGGTTTTGCCTGCCAGAATTGTCGAGATGAAAATCGTTTTGGCCCAGACTGTCAGTCAGGTAAGGATGAGTAATTCAGGTGAAACCTCCACAAAAGTAACTCAGAGCAAGGAAGGAGGAGGGGGAGGTTGAGTGAGGAAGGGTGCTGGAGAGGAGGAGAGGATGCCAACTGTCAGTGTTCAATAGCAGGTGTCTTGGCATTTTGTCTTTGTACCCTTCTCCACTGTCCCATTAGATAAATGATTCTCGGTCTTTCACTCGAATCAGTCCATTTTTCCTATGGTAAATCTCTCTCTCCCCTTATCAGGGCTATCCTTGTTCCCTCTCTCTTTTTAGCGAAGCTGTTACCTACATCCCTGAAGTAACCCCCACTCGCTTCCCAGGTGTTTTCCAGACTCCTGTAACTGCCCCACTTGTGTCCCAGCTTGTTGCCCTTCCTACAAAATTAATACACATAAAATTAATGCTGCTTCTCATGTATGGCATTTTTGGAAGCAATTTATGACCAGTGCAGCCTGGCTGTTAAAGTAGCCCTTTTTGTCCAGCTCCTGGCTCCCTTGTATCCACACAGGTGAGATAGGTGCAATCTTGGTGGTTGTGCTCACACGACACCAATGCTGGGTTCACAGATGTGGTAGGCTCTCATAACACTGCCTCCTTCCACATTGGCTCCAGGAGACTTAGAGAAGTGGGAAGTTAAAACATGTGCCTGAAATGCTGGTCTAGATCTTGCATTGAAGGCTGCTCTTACAGGGCTGTACTTCGTCTTCTTGAGCTCAGGACATGCAGTTTGCTCTCAGAAAGCTCTGATTGGCATGACCTATTTTTTAAAGGGGCTACATTTGCTGTGGATTATTGGTGGTAAATCAGGGTACCAAGTGCCAGAGCAGTTGGCCAGTGTATGTCTGGAGCCCTGTCTACTGCCTTGTAGCTGAAGGTACGGTTTGTCTGTACTTCCCTTGCAGTGTGTGACTGTGTGCATGGGGAATGCAACAGCAGCGTCACTGGGAATGGAAGCTGCACGTGCTACGGAGGCTACACTGGTCCCAGGTGTGACCAAGGTAAGTAGTACATTGGTAGTGGCAGAGGGGATGTTAGAGATAGCTATGATATGGGCTTGGATGTATGTGTCCCAAAAGGAGCTGGGGGGCAATGAATAGCTTGGCAATGTAGAGGGAAGATGGTCTGAGCACTGGAGATCTAGACAGAAGGAAAAGCTGGGGTCTGCTCCCCACTCCACGACAGTGGCCGAGATGTGCCATCTCTTTGTGCCTCTGTTCTTTCTCTGGGAACCAGATAGATCTTTTCTTCTCTCTAAGCCTTGTGGGACCCGACTTCCTAGGCTACCATTAATTTAGAGCTGTCTGCACTGCTTATATCCCCTGGATTTTGTGCCAGCTTGGGGGGCCTCTGGAAACCACATTTAACTTCATTTCCAGATATTTCGTAAGTTAAGTTATATCTTCCAGTAATGGCCTGCATGCTCAAAGGGAAACTCTCTTTACTGTGTGATTGCAGAGCTTCCCCTTTGCAAAGGTGTGACATGCGAGGCCAACAGCGAATGTGTGGTAAGGGATGGGACAGCGATGTGTGACTGCAAGCTGGGCTACAGAAAAACTGGGAGCACTTGCCAAGGTGGGAAACTTCTCTGTGACCCTAAATGGTCCCCTGTTTGGAAAGATCTTGTTGGACTGGTATCTCCAGATGAATTTAATCACCGTGAATGCAATGCCTACTTCACTGCAGAGGCCTAAGAACCTGGTTTTTAGGAATCCCTTTAAGATTAAGGGCTAAATTTTTGGCTCTCCTCTCACTTGGTCCTGAAAGCAATAAATGAAATGCTTCCATCCAGCACTCACTTATAAGTATATACCGAATTACCATGACAATGGGATATTGGTGAGTCTGTACCAGTTTAAATAATACGGCATGTAATTGGAGGATTTCTTCACTGATTTCAAATTTAAGTTTGTGAATTGGTTTTGTTAAATGAAAGTCAATAAGATGCATGTGATTAGCTAGCTATGGATAGCTCTATTTTCACTGTCTTTTTGCGGTTTTTGCTCACCAAACTGCAGTTTCATATATCCTCAGATAGGATGGAAATTCAGAGGTAAATCCAAGCATCCTCTGTCACTCACATTTCTGTTACTGAAGTAACACGAAGACTGTGTCATCAAGATTCCTCAGATTAAAAAACCCGAAATGTCCACTGTCTGAAATTATTTTATTTTTCTGGGAAATTTTAGAAGTGTAATAGTATAAATTCTGTATACTCAATTCTTTCCAGGTCTTTTGCGTTCTGCTGTGCTGCAGTAAGTGCCATTTTGAAAACAGAAATTTGGTTACTCTCACCTCTCATCTCTTTAATTGCAGCTGAGGATCCTTGTGCTGATTCTCCATGCTCCCCTTTCGCTGTATGTAAGAGTCTTGGACCACGAAAGTATCAATGTACCTGCAAAGAAGGATTTCAAGGAGATGGGAAGATTTGTCAGCCAATAAACCCTTGTGTGGACAGCAATGGAGGCTGCCCAGAAAACTCTACAATTTGTGTTTACAGACGTCCAGGAGAGGTAAGGGCAGGAATAGCATGTCAACAACCTGTAAGGGTCTGAAAAGTGGCCAGGTGAGAAGTTCTTCAAATAAGATCACCATTCTGTTGGTCACATCTGCTCTTCTCACCTTAGATTTTGCAAAGGGAAACCAGGCAGCTCTTTTTTAGGGTAGCTTACTGGGTAAAAGATGATGAACATAGGTTTATAATCACTGTGTTGTCTTCCCTTAGGCATCTTGTGTTTGCAAGCCTGGGATGAGTAGGAGAACTCCATCGTCTGAATGTTCCATATTTCCCAATGATTGCCGGCAGTATTTTTGTGATGTGACTTCCACATGTGAAATTAATTCCCAGGGGAATCCTAGGTAAGCCAGTTTAAAGATTGCTATTAAAGAAGCTTATTTTCCAGCTAGAATGGAAACTGAGTTTGGATGAGCTGAATTTTGAAGAAACTGAGAGCTGAGGAGAATGGGACAGAGTCACCTTTTGAGAAAAGCGTGTTTGTAAAAACCCCATTAAAAGTAAAGAGTTTTACATCAGTCATTGTAAATTTTGGCATGCAGGTCACAAGATGCTTTAAATCTGGGGCAGCAGAGTCTTCTCTGATGTGAACTGGAGATGCAGCTCCCGAAGTTGGTGGTAGTAGTGGAGTGTTATCAGTTAATAATTATCAATCGTTAAAAAAGAGATGTGTGACATTTGCTCACATTTGCCCACATTTGGTTCTGAGGGCTATGTCTTTGGCTCTCCTCCCACTCAGGCCTGTAAGCAAGAAATTAATTAGAGTTGCAGATTGACAGGGAAGGGGAAAGTTGAGAGAAGAAGCACCAGACCTCATTTAGTTCTCTGGAGCAAGGCACCTAGAAGTTGACACCCCTTAGATGGGAAACATTGCCCATCATCTAGGATGATTTTTGCATAATGGCCTTCCAAACACCAGAGAAAGCTTCACTGAAGATTTTTTGTGTTACCAAGAAAAGATGAAGCTTCTCTGAGAGACTGAAGAAGGAAAGAGCAATCCCATCTCCTTGACCTTTCCTTCTCCAGTGCTGCTAAAACTGTTAGCATCCACCTGCTCATTGTGTGCTTCAGGCCAGAACTGAAACAGTGGCTTTCCTTTCTGAAGATATGCTAGCAAAGTGCAGGATGCGATGTTCAGCACAGTCCCTGCCTTAGTGTATCTGTTCCCCAGCAGCTGGCGCTCAGCCCTCTGAGGCTGGCGTAATGTTGAATCGCTCCTGTCTTGCATGTCTTTGCATCCCTGAAACAGAAAGAGCAGAGACGATACTTGGACAAAACCCAAGCAGGAATAAACATAGTTATCGGCCAGTGATCTTAAGTTGCCTCTGAGTAATGACTATAAATCCGTGTGAATCAGGACAGAGATTTTGACACATAGATAAGCTTTTCTGGAAAAGTCATTTGCCCGTCTGGGGCCTTCATTAAATCTGAGATGAACCTTACTGATGTGCTTGAGCTGGCACTTCTCACTGAAGCTGGGTGGTCACACAGGAGCTGCATGCTAGATTTTCACTTAGCCTGTGGTTTTTTCATGTTACCTCAAAATTTCAGGTGCTGTAATGACTGGTACTGAATGAATATATAGTTAGATACTGTGGCTATCTGTGCCCTGAACTATAGACCAGACAATCCCTATGTTGATTGTATCTGAGAAAGCATCTTCAGTCTCTTTAGGTAGGTCCAAATTTGCTTGCACTCCATTAGTGTGTATCTTTTTTCCTGTCACTTAGTTTAGGCAGAAGTTACTAAGCTCTTACCCACACACTAAAGCTAGGATTTGTCTTTCAAGTGTAGATACTGACATGTTGTTCTACTCACATTTGTTGAATGTGTTGTGAACTGTTTTATAGTGATTTGTTATGTTTCATTCTTGTCTCTTAGCTGTGTGTGTAGAGAAGGGGAGATTGGAGATGGCAGAAGTTGCTATAAAGATCTCTTGAGTGAGATAAATCAGCATAATTCACGAGGAAGATTTGCTAGGAAATTAAACGTCGCCAGGAAAATGTTCGGTAAATGTCTTTTGAATTCATTTGGGGAATGGAGCAAATGTGGAGACAAGACTGTGTCAGAAAAGGCTAAAAGCCTTTTGGCATAATAGATCTATTTTGCAGTGTATAACCGTGGACAGCAAAATTAAACACATCATATCTCTGAACTCATATTACCAGTCCTGGATTGTGAATTGAGGAGACTGTGACAGAGAGCACTGTGGATGAGTATTAGGTATTTGACAGTCCTGGTGAATGACATACCATATCTGCAAAAGAAGGAAAACATGCCTTGGAAGTGTGATTCAAACCTGTTTGTATCAAACCACCAGTGTGCCTCCACTTGCAGTATCTATGTTGAAGGCTCAGCAATCTTTCAGCTGTCGCTGAGTTTTGTAGCAGTGATGCTTGAGGCTAGTGTGCCATGGATCCTCTACTTGGTAGAACATCTGCTAAGCCCTTAAATAGCCTCCTTGCCAGCATGCACGTGTGAGTGGCTATTATAGAGATGAAAAGGCTTTATTCTATGTACCATGGTACTTTCTGAGTAAGGAATTGCTTTGCAAAGCATAGAAGAATGTTTTAGAACCCAAGTACTGCAAGTGTGAGGAGCGATACCTACAAAGGTTAATTTTTGCCTCACTGTGATCCAAGGAAAGAATGAGAACTCTTTAGCTCATGTCGAAGTGTATTTATGTTAGATACCTTCTCCAACTCATCTTCTGCACAGTCTTCTCTATCTCCACTAACTTGATAGGGCTCAAAGTTCAGCTTAGCTTTTGTGAATACCCCTTCCTGCTACATATCAGTGTTCCAGCACGCATTGTTTGCATATGTTTTCCATAATGATTTATGTGATGGGCAGCTGCATGAGGATCTCTGGTTTCCCAGCTCCTGTGCAGTGGGACTTAATACCTAATGACCTTTGTTGATGAGGGCTTTGTTGATTGGCCACTGACGACTGAGTGAAGACTGACACATGCAGGTTCACAGCAACTTCTCAAGAAGTATTTAGTCTCAATACATCCTGATGACACCCAAAAATTATTTGTTTCAAGGGGAAGACAGAGGACACTTGGCCCAAGAATAAGGTAGTAAGCATGTGGCGAAAAAAATTATGAATATTCTGCAAAAATTTCAGCAGTGATTTGAAGTGGACCAAAGACATCAGCAATCTTTCAGAAGTCTTGTGGGCAGGTGCTTAGAACTAATAGGAACCAGGCTGGGCTGTGATAGCAATACCAAACTCCCTCTGGTTCCTTGTAAACAAGTATTAGTTACTTGCATCAGGCCAAAAATGTGTAGATTGAATTGTGCTGTTAAGAATAGGAATTATTGCTGGAGTTAAACCATATGCCAAGTAACTACTTCACGTTGCCACTCTTTTTACAGCTTCTGGTTGCTCAGTGTTGCTGACTAAGTACGGGCCTTTCACAGTCTTTGTACCATCCCTTCTTCCAATTCATGATAGAATGGAATTTAACGTAAGTTTTCTTGGTTTTAGCAAATTTTGCTGTCTTAGGATTCTTTCCTGCCCGAGTTCTGCAGCCTGTAAAAACTGATTGACACATGAGAGAGGAACTTTGGAAGGCAGTATTTATAGAAGCAATCTTTTGGGAAGACGCTTCATTGTCTGGTTGCAGTCTCACAGAGGATGTTACATCCCTCACATTATTTTTAAAACCTCTCTCTGTCTCTTCAAGATTGACAGAGTTTGGTTGTTTTCAATGTCAGGAAGTGTAAGTTTTTCTGGCCATTCTTCATTTAAAGCAGGAACCTCCTGTATGTGACTATTCTCAAAACTTAGGTGGCTTTTCACTACTTGAGGGTGGGGTTTTCAAAAGGAGCTGAGGTTTGCATCGAAGTACTGGATTTTGGGCCTATGGCCCTAGATGGGGGTATGTTGTCAACAAGAGATCTCGTTTTATTAATGGGGACAGCAAGTATGGCAGGGCTGGAGAAAACTGCTATGGGAGCCAAGACAAGAGTTTGAGAATTCTAGGCTTCAGCAAGTAGGTCCTGCAGGTCATATTATTATTTTATTTATTTTTTAATGAAGTTGTGTTTATTTGCAGCAGCTTTAGCCAACAACCAGGCTATCCATCATTATGATGAGAAGATATATAAGCTGTTTTCCCAGGACAGAGCTAAAAATCAGCATGCGTGAGCTACAAATGCAGCTTATGCAGCACAAAGTTTAATTGTGAGCTAGGCAAGGTGCCTGTTCTGTTTCAGGTGGCAGCTAGCTTGCAGCTAGCACTCAGATATGAGAAGACAAGTGTCTTAGAAATAATCCAGACAGACCAACCCCATCTGAACATTAGATTTCCGACTGGTTTAGAAACATCATTCCTTTGCTTGGTAGCAAAGCTATCTATGCAGCAGCAGTAACTCACATAGAGTCTAGGGAGCAGCTCCTAACCTACAAATGCCAGGGACATTATCTGTCTCCTACTACCTTGTTGATCAAAGGTTTCCACTAGTTTCCACAAGTCAGGCCCTGTGCCTGGGTCATCATGGTAACTTCTGATTTCATAGAAAATACATCAGGAAAGGCCTCTGAGTTATCTAGTGTACCTGTTCCCACAAGGATCAGTTCCACCTAAATCAGTATTGACAGAGGATTTTCTTTAAAAAATGCCGGTGATGTAAAGCCCAGAAAAGAAAGGAAGAAACTAAATGTAAATTCAGCAGCTTAGACCACCTATATGGTCCAACATAAACAAAGACTGTGTAGGGGTATCTTCAGCAAGTTTTACAATCTGGAGCATGTAAGGGTGGTTTTTAAATTGACCAAGCCAAATAGGTTTCTGTCTAGGGATTCCTCTAAAGTTACTTGCAGGTTAATCAGCCTCCCTGTGTTTGAATGTGTACACAAATAGAAGCAAAAGATTTTCCACAGTGCTACTCCAGTGAACCAAAATGAAGAGGGAAGCTCAATATGCTAAGAATTTCTCTGTGTGTGTTAGCTGGGAGAAATGTAATGTTATGGTTCTTTCTGTAAATGAGGGTTTTGAAAGAACATGTCTCTTATCTTCTTTATGTGGTCTTTGTTCCCCAAAGGATACCACAGCTGAACACTTGTGCAGATTGCACATTGTTCCTGGTCTGCATTTGGTAGAAGATATGGTAAAAGCCAAGACTGTGTGGACCTTGTCAGGACATCAGCTAACATTCAGTAGCCAGGTAAAGGATCTCCTGAAGTCCTGGATCGCTGCTTTCCTGTAAGACAGACTGGAGCTTGAGCATAGTTTCCTTGGTGTGCTTTCTTAACCAGAAAACCTTTTTCTCTAATCAGCTGGCCTGTGATCAGAACAAGCTCCTTTGTGGAGTCCAAAGCAAGGTGATTTAAGACCAGAAGCAACCATTTCTCCTGTCTTGCAGACAACCAATTAGCCAGAATCTGACTTGTGAATGGTCTCTCCTTGGTCCATATATGTATTCTAGAGAAGAGACCTTTTTTAGCAGCTACAATATCCGTGTGGCTGACATGGAAGAGGCAGCAAAATCTCTCATCAGACTGGATGCTTCTCCTTGGAGATTCTGTGCTTAGACACAGCCACACGCTGAGTATTTTCTCTTCCAGTTCTCTTTTCCCCTCTTTCCATTTTATTTTTCTTAGTTGTCCTAGCAGAGAGTTTTTCATCATTATGTTCTGATATGGAAGGCTTTTTTTCCCTTTTCCCTTTTTCAATTGACTCATATTTTCCAGCACCCACTGTTCTCTCTCCATCCTGCACTTTTCCTGCATGCATGGTCACAGCTGGCCGGGGGAGAGCCGTATGTTTCCTCTCTGAGGATCCAGCCTTGGCCTTGAGGTCTAGGTCATAATACATGCACCCTGCATGCATCAGAAGGACAAAGCACTATCTGGAGCCAGGGAATCTGAACTGAGCTTGTCGATGCTCCTTTTAAATTTCTTTCCTGTTTGTTTACTCAGGAGTCTTTTGATCTGGGAATTCTGCCCTCCCCTTCCTTTGTTTCAGCCAGAATCCTCAATGATGTCAACTGAAGTTCAGGGCAGGGAGGAGCAGTTCAAGAAATGCACGTGGTGAAATGAAAAGCAAGGGGAAGTTGTGCTTGCCTGAACTTGGATTATGGCTGCAGCACCATACCTTGATGCTTAGTTTGTAGGTTAACCTTGGAACACCTCCATATGCCCAGCTTCAGTGCATGGTTGCATACAATATGGAAGGACCAGATAGGTACCTTATAATTCAATGAGCCTGACTGGTTTGGCTTTGTTATGAAGACCTCCTTGTTGTCATTGTGAGCCAATAAAAGTTGCAATCAACGCTGTAGTTCCAGGATTGCCTCTAAATTCTGTACCCTGGTGCCCAGGAGGCACCATGCCTCTCTTCTTGTACTTGGCAGACTGTTGCAGCAGCTACTTCATGGTCAGTGCACCCTTCTGTGATCCAGAGCTGGGATCAAGCATTGTTCACACTCAGACAAATTTAATTCTAGAGCTGACTGTCCTAGATTAGGTCATCTTTCTGTAATAAGACTTAAAAGTACCTCCCAGGATCAAAATATTACCTACGCTCAAGTAGAGGTGGGATGTTTGTTTTGCACCCAGGCCACCCCTTAAATTTAGCTTTTCCAGAGTAACTCTATGCGTTCGCCTTGCTGTCCCATAGGTGGAGAGCACCGAAGGGAACAATGGTTTATAGAACTGTTGTGATAACACAGATATTGCACAAGAAAATAACTTTTTGTTATTATCCAGACATACCTGAAATCGTTTCAATATCAAGACCTGCCAGGGGAACTGTACAGTATTTTGCAGTCGAACCTACCAGCAGCCAATGGCATCATGCATATTGTTAACACGCTAAGGAAAAAACCCAGCACTGACAACCTCAGAAACCCACAGGTATACAGACATTTTCTTCTGTTTTATGGGACAGCAGAATAAACACTTAAAAAAAAAAAAAAATCTATTTTCATCATTAAACTTCCAAATCAAGAAGGCTTTCTTGTTACTTCCTATCTTGTTACTTTCTTTCTTGTTACTTCCTATCTCCTTGCAAAAAAATTGCTTGTAGAATGACAACAAGCTCTTGGATTTGGTAGGATTTTGGTAGTAGTTTGCACTTAATTTACGCCGTTGTAATTAATCTATAAAAACATTCAGACTGTGTAATATTATGGTTGTATTTTGTGTGTTTAAAAAGCAGCTGGAGTCTTGTGTTGAGTGTCAGTAGCTCTTTAGCTGAAGTGCCCTGAAGGTGGTGTATCAATTGTACAAGTGCTGGGTGTTCATATGGATTTGATAGTGCCCATCACTGATGTTTAAGTCTGCTGTCACTTAAGATGCTCTCACTCTTATGACCTGCATGAGGATATTTTCCAAAAAGGAGTGTCTGAGGTCCAGAGGGAAAACTGGACTTCTGTGTTCGTGTGCTCAGGCACCTGCAAGGAACGGTTTGCAGTTACTCTGGGATGGCAGGACAGCAAGAGAGCTCCCTGCAGAGCTTGTCTTCCTCTAGGCTCCTTCAGACATTTCCTTCCCTTGTGATGTTGTCTTTGCAATGAAGGCTAGTGATCACATCAGCCATTTGTGGCATCAAATCTCTTTATGTCCCTTGGAAATAACGTTCTGTGCCTCTGCATGTTCTATAGGAAGCACTTTCTGCCAAAAAAAAAAAAGCAGATTCCTGCAAATAAAGGTCAGACAAGTCCCTTCACAAGGTTTGATATTTGAAGGGACATTCCTCCTGTTACCTTTGTCTTCATGGGCAATGTGGCAAAAAGGAAGGCATCTATTTCCTCTGTGTTTTCAGGAATATGCATATGTGTTGTATTTTCTCAGCATTGGGGCTCATTTGCAGGTGGCAGAGTGAACTCCTGTCCTCAAAGGACAGGGAGACTTAAGATGACAGAGCAGCTCTACTGCCTACCAGCCCAGAACTGATTTATATAGCACTGGAAGTAGTGTGGCTCTAGTTTTAATGATAGTGGGCAATCAGCTCTTCATTTAATCTGCAGATGGGAGTAGAAAAACAGAAGGGTGCTCAAGTGCATGGTACCTTGGAAAATCTGGTTTGTTGTGCATGGGAAGGAGTTTGTGCCTAAGCTAAGGATCTTTGCTCAGGATCCTTGCCTAGGCTCAGTCCTTGCTAGGTCAACTGCCCAATACAGAGGGTTTGAAGACTGAGGATGATGGTCTCTGTAGATCTTTACCTGCAAACCACAAACAAACTGGCCAAGGGCATTCCAGTAGGCACTCAGGCCTCACTTCAGCCCCAGCCATATTTCTCTTCTTTGTATCTTCTTGCAGAAAACCATTGGTGAGATCCTTGCTTCAATGGAGGTCTTCAGTAGATTTGAAACTATACTGGAGGTAAGCATGTTTGTGTCTGCCCCAGGGAGGTGCAGTATTGCTGCTGTTGCAAAGCCTGCTGCTGCTGTTTTTGTGGGAATTTTGGGTAACATTTAAATACATCTCAGTGATCTGCCTTCCTTTCTGAATGCTTTTTTTCTGTGTCATTTCTTATTTTGTGTATTTTACATAAGTAAATGTAATAGAAAAGATTGGAGTTTTCACATCTATGGGGGATCTGGCACAAGCAGCAAGCATACATGCCTCTTTCCCGTCTGTTTCCCCACCTCTCCTCCACTCTCCCCTGGAGAGTTTGTTCTCCACAACATGTTTAGTTCTTGACCACTGTCAGGACGAAGAGTGAAGGTTTCATCACTGCCCATGCCAAGCTATATTGTAGCTACCTGGTTTTGGGATGTAGATCTTTAAATAAAAGCAGGTCTCAGATTATAAGCCCTTGAGACTACTGCCTAGGACTCATGTAGTTAGTATTTTCACTAGGGACAGAGTGATTTTCCTTTTACCTCCATCAGTCATCTGGATCTGCTCTGGCATTGCTCACAACAGTCTTGGCCTGCCTGTTTTCAGCTCTGTGGCTTTTAGTTGTTTACAAAATTGGGTAACTTCAGTTGTGCTTATAGACTTGATTCTCTTTTTCTCCTCTTCAGGCAAAAGGATACAGTTTTAGTCTCTGTATATGTACTTGTGTGTTTAAAGCACACAGGGAGCATTAGCCAAGTACTCCCTTGTTCACATTAGCTGCATTCACACCAGTGGCTTCATTATCCAAGCTAGGTTTCTGTGGCATTTATTCCTCTGTTATATTACATACCTATCTTTGGTGTCCAGTTACCTCTTGTATACATTTGCTTTTCAATAGCTCTGCCTCTAGTGGGTTGCTTAGAGTTTTCTCTCCCTTCCTGATAGACCCCCCTCACTAACTCATGCTAGACCCACGATGAAATCTTTTATTGTTGTTGCAGAACTGCGGCCTGCCTGCAATACTAGATGGTCCAGGCCCCTTTACTGTATTTGTACCCAGCAATGATGGTGTGGATAAGCTGAGAGATGGAAGGCTCATTTATCTTTTTACAGAGGTGAGAGCTTATGGTACTTCAAGACATCCTGAGCAAACTGTGTTGCACTAGGCTGTGCTGGAACGACTTGTGCAATGTATCTGATCATTACTAAAAGTTGTTCTTCTTGGAGATGGCTAAACAATGTCTCTGTTTATGTAAGGCTTTAGGAGAGAAGGGAAGGATGATGGAACCTGCAATGAGATACATGGTTAGCCAGACTGTTTAAATCTGATGGTTGGCTTGCTTTCTTCACCCTGGCTTTGGGTAGGGGAAAATGAAGGAACTTATTCACCAAGTGAATTCGCTGCTATAGCAGTACATTGGCATTATCAGTCATTGGTAGTTGTCACCCCTTACTCCTGAGCATCGAAGGGGGATCTAATTCTTATGTTCTCTTCTTTCCTTAGGGCATAAATAAGCTTCAGGAACTTGTGAAACATCATATCTACACTTCAGCAGCGGTAAGGCAGGCAGCTTTAATTCCAGATAATTGTGGTCCTTTGGGCCAGCATGTTATCAACTGTGTTGTTTGGCATAGAGGTCAGAGTGTTGATGACTTCAGCTGCTACTTCTTGGACTCCCCTGGAGGAACAGAGATGTGACTCGAGATCTGATGAGGCAAAATGTTTACCATGAAAACTGTTGACAAAAGGGACAGCTTGTGCTCTTCCATCACGAAACTCTGAGTTTCCCGGGAGTGATGGTGCTCCTTAGTTGTATGGCCTTTACAATGAAAATATTGTCTGGCAGACTTTGCTGCAGGCAAATGCTCTCTTGTTATCACTGTTATGCACAATTTGTTAAACTATTGATTAGGAGTGTACATTAATTATGAACTCTCCAGCCTACAGTTTCCCTAAAACACTAATAGTAGCAACACAAAATTTATAGCCAAGTAAAGAATTGGTCCAAACTCCCTGATGCTTTTCCTCTCTCCTTGGGCTCCTCCAGTGGCTAAAGTTAGAGGTGGAGAACTGGTGCAAGTGAGTCTGTGACCTGGCCTGGTTACTGCCAATTCTTGCACCAGCATTGCTGTGTACTACAGTGACAGGGTAAATAAAATCAATTCAGTGCATCATCAAGACATTTTCCCTTATACAATAAACAAGAGAAATCGTTAAAGTTAGACACAAAACCTGTGGAGGAAGTGAATACTCAAGCATTATGGTACAATGTCATGTCCTTCATTAAGAAATACCAATTTATTCCCATTCTTTACTGAGAAGCAGATGTCAATCCTTGTGATTTTTCTAATTCCAACAGAGAAAATGAGCAGCACTTTGGTAAAATGGCAAAACCTAGTTTTACTTGCAATTGATGAATAACAACATGGTAACAAGCTGAGCTACTTTTTAATAACCTGTTGGACACAAAAGTAACAATTGTCTTGGTTCTTAGAACTTCTGACTTCTGAAATCATCGAGTTTCTCAGTACAGTAGCTGCAGTTTACTTAGAAATAACCCTATTTATTAAGTCAAAATATGTTCTCTATTATGCTTCTGGCTGAGCTTTCATTGTTTATTGAATATGTCCTCAAAAATCCTCGTATTAGTCTGACCCTACTAGCAGCTGTATTAGTAAGAGACACTATTAGTGCTGGACTGTTTACTTACACAATTAGTGAAAACCAAGGCTGCTGCCGCCGTCACTGCTGTGTTCATAGTATCACAAACAATTCACACATAGTCACAGATTTCCCTCTGACCCATTGTTTGTGTTTAAGGTATTTCATGAAATGTAAATGTTAAAGTCAAGTGCCCTTTAGAAGGTTATTTAAGTGGCAGGAATCATGGAAGGAGTCTATAAGCTGTACTGAAATGACACTGCTTTTTCATGGTACTGTCGCCTTGTGGTTTTATTTCAGGTGACTGTAGAGAAACTGATAATGATGCCATACATTGTTACTATGGCTAACCAGATACTCACCATCAACATCAGTGCAAGTGTAAGTACGAATCAAGACCTTTTGGGCAAACTGTCCTGTGCTAGGAGAAGGTCTGGATGTCGTGCTTTCAGCCCATCTCTGCTTCCTCCTCTGCTTAAAAAAACAGATTTAAATGAGATCATTGAATTAGTTTGCATCTTATCCAACCTGTGACTCCACATTTGAGTGGTTGTGCTTGATGTTGTGTACTGTCTGTTTCCTGCATTTCCTTTATGTAGTTGATACAGTCCAATGGACTAAAATGCAGATAAATTATTTGTGTTTCTCCATCAGGGAAGAATTCTGATGGATGAATCAGGGATCCCCTTAAAAATGAGAGACATTGTGGCATCAAATGGTATTATTCATACCTTGGACGGCATCTTCATCCCTCCTTCAATAATTCCCATTTTGCCTCACAGATGCAATGAAGAGCAATATAAAATTGTGATGGTAAGTCAACTTCTCCCATTCTCATGCTAGCAGTTGCTGTAGACCCCACGCTCGCCTGGCGAGACAAAAGCAGGCTGTGTAAATTGCATTTGGGAAATGTGTTCTCTCTGAGAGGTCCCCTGATGTGAACTTAGGCAGTATCAGCACCATCAGTGTTTCTTCTGCTAGCATTTGGCACTGCTTTCCTGGCAATCAGCAAATGTTTTGTGTAGGCTGTTCTTTCCTTGCACCCATCCTGCCTTTGATTCAGAAGTATATTTGCTTTTTCATAAGGCCTTATATGACCTTCCTCACACCATAGTTGCTAACTCAGCTGACAATACTTTGTTCCCATCACTATCAGCATTGGTGTTCTGTAGTCTGGACAGGAGGCAGTCGTTCAGTAGCAGGAGCTACAAATGCTGTGCGATATTCTCACCTGAACAGTTTTGTATACCTTATTTTAGGTGCTTTCTCCCCAATTTGATCATTGGTAGGTTACTGAAGAAAGAAAGCGAGGCTCTGAATAGGCAAGGGGTACCTGATTTGGAGGAGTAAGGGATCCCCTCACAGTTAATCCCAAGTGGCCAGGGGGTCCACATAACTTGCTGATTTGGTGAGGCCTGCTGCATGGATGCCCAAAGTGTTTTCCAGCATAGCTGTGTGTCTGTCAGTGGAGAGTGGAGACTCACAGGGTGGAGGCAGACCACATCTTGCAGTCAGGTGCAAGCATCTCCTAGAGACAAAGAAGTTGTTTTATTTAAGTGATAAACTTACCCCATTTCAGACTGCGAAAACTCCTTCCTAGGAATATTTCTGGTACATGTTGTGATGTTTCAGTTATATACTGGGAGCAGTAGCTCTGTAGCATTCTTGGCATGGGGAGTGGGTTCCTTTGAGAAGATTAAGTTTACCCCTCTTGTTTTCTTAACAGGGCTCTTGTGTGGATTGTGAGGCCCTCAATAGCAGCGTTTGCCCACCTGGTAGCAGAGAAATGGTAAATATTTGTGGGTACTTCAGTAATTTCTTCTTTGCATGATGACATACAGACACAGCAATAGGCAGTTTCTAACGCAAGCCACTGTCAAATAAATAGAAAGCGAGAAAGGCAACCAGTAGAGAGGCTTATTAGAGGATAAGTACTCCCCACACACTCATGCTCTGTGATCACAGACTGTCACCCACTAACTGGTCTGTGCTGAAGTCTGCTGAATCAATGGAGAAAGCTGTGAGACAGTCTGGGCTAAAGGAAATTGTAGACTTGCAGCTTTTAGCACTTCTGCTCTGCCTGAGGCAGAGCTTTCCTGCCCACATACTGTGTCTGCCAGCTCCTCCAGACTGCTAGAACCAAGCCTGATCCCACTAGTACCATCCAGTACTACCACTGCCTATATCACAGCCAGGAAATCACAACAAGCTTTCTGCATTGCAGAGGGTTAGAAACAATTTGTGCTTGGCCTGTGCTCCCTGTTGATTCAGGGATGGGCAGAACGTGCTGAAGGTGGAGTAAGGATGTGGAGGCTGGGTGCTGGTGTTTGAGTTAATCCCACGCTGAGTTTGGCAGAACAGCAAGTTCCAGGAAATCCCCATGTGAAGGCCAGGCCCAAGATGTTATTTGTGAAAGCCAGAGGTGTTTACCGTTATTAACTCTTGGGTGTCTTCTGAGAGATCTGACTTTCAGGAGAACTTGCTGATGCGTTCTCAGCATGAATGAAGTAGAGCTCTGCAAAATCACTAGTTGCTCGGTTTCCTCTCTGGTTGAGGCACATGAAACCAGAATCATCTGGAGGCCGATTCTGCCTGTGTCTAACTCCATGACAGGTCACTGAGCATTGTTCCAAAATTCCCTCCCTCACTCTCTTATTCTCTTACCCCCCACACCCCACTTTCCTTCCCTCCTGCTTTCCCCCCCCCTTTCTCTTTCCTCCTCTCTTTCGTACCCTCTATTTCTC